TCGCTTAGTCTATGGATCTTAACTCTAAGTTATCTTAGTTTTTACCATCGCATCTTTTAAACTCAATCTATATATACTAATATCTAATATTCAACCTTAATGCAGCTGTTCCCAGGTAACCTTTTGCATCTGTTAGTTCTTTAAAGTTATTTTATTATTTTACGCTTTGAAAAGTATTTCATTCGGTTTCTTTTCCGGTCAGCATGGGCCAGCGTGCATGTATGTGAGTCATGCATGGGCATAGAATCTTAGCTACGAGCAATCTTGTAGGTGATTCACCTCTTTTCAGATGCACATTGGCCCCTGCGTTTAGTGTTCCAAGATCGTCACGGGAAATTTTGAAGCAAGGGAAAAAAAAATTAATGTGGATACACCGATGTTACAGTATAATATTAACTGTATCCGAACTTTCGAAAGATTTAGCTCCACTAGCTCGATTTAAAATTAATTTAAAAAAAAAAGCGCTTAAAGTCCTTAGGTGCCATAATACTTAATCATCCTATTGCTAATTTACGTCTCGCTATTTTTTTTAACCCATGTTTTTAGGGTGAAATTGAAACAGTCATATTCTAAAATATTCAAGTATCTAATTATTTCTGTGAAACTATTTATTTTATTTTATTAAAACCAAGCAGTTATTTCTGTTTCAGAATTTTTATAGCTTTAAACATATTATTTTCTTAAAAAACTATTTTTTTTGTTAATTTTGAATACGTACTGGTAAGTTGAATACATAATAACTTAGAACACACAGAGAAAACTCGTGAAATCAATATGCTGCTTTCATAGGGCTTAAGTACTGACATCTACATACAGCTTTTTGTGTGTAAGCATGTGTTCAATTTTAATTCGGGATACTGACCCTCCAGTAAAACCATCGATTAAATAATGAACGTACTCCACATGGGTACAAGGCTAACGTTTAAATTTGTACTTTTACTTCAAAGTTTAAAGTACTTTGCTAAATTAAAATTGAAAATGAGATATTTAGTTAATAGCCTTTAGGTAATAGCCCTTTTATGATAGGATTACACTTTTAAAATATTACTACTAAAAATACGTTTTTCTAAATCTATAATGTTTTGTTACCTAATTGTAAAGATGTAGTGCTGTGGAGATTCTTGCTTATCGTGCTTCTCGTTTTAAAATTGTACCAATACCATCACATTTATTTATACCATAAGAGGTAGGAGAAAAATGAAATTTGGTCAGGATCCTAAAATCTCTTTTATGAAATAGAAGATTTTAAAAGTTGCTCTTATTTTTAAAGTGTTAAGCTGCACCACCTGATAAATAAAATAGTTTTCTGATTTCATGTTTCGTTTGCAAGAACTTCGTAACAATTCTTCGACTTTCGTACATTGGAACTGTACCGTGGCTAAGAAACTATTGCAATACTTTGATGTTCAAGTTCACTGTTGTATCAAAAATACACTGCACAAATAAAAACCGTCACTTGATTATTGTTTCAATAAAACGATTGAATAGAATTTTATAGAACGAACGCATAATTCTTCGTAAAATCTAAACTTATTGTACATACGTCTATTTAAAATTTTTTTTATTATTTACACATACAAAACTAATGGTATTGCTGAGTGTTTCGGACGATCCATCGCCTTATGTATCTAATGTACAATAACTACTGTTTACAGTAAAATAATACACACTTGAACCGATTGAATGTGAAACACAAATTATAGAAAAAACAAAAAAAAAAATATCCACTTACACACACGCCCACATCTCAATAGCTGTCGTAGTCGCAAAAACCATTTCGACATCAGCATCTCGCTTGCGACATTAGAGTGTCGATTACATGATGAAAAAAAAAAAAAAAAAAAAAAAAAAAAAAAAANGGCGGACTGACTATTTAACTTTAACTACAACATATAAATTTAGTAACTTAGTCTTTTAACTACCTTTTTGCTTCTAAGGGTCACAAAAAATTTGACCCATCACGGTTTCTCCGTTATAAGAAAGGTATATTTAATAAGTGAGACTGCAATTGTTATGAAATTTTTTTATTCCTATTTACACATATAAACTAAAGTTTAGTAAGAAAATCATGCTTTTAATTAAATTAATTTTGTACTCTCTTTTCTAAGGCATCTTTGTTCTTCACTATTATCTACAAATTTGCAAGCTACGTTAAAAGGCATTGTATTAGTTGCCTAACTATATGACTTCCTAGTGATTAGGCCATGTAAAAAATACCACCTATTTACCCCGGAAGCAGTGATAGAGCGGAGTCTCGAACCAAAGCTCTCCAGAAGTCTGACTCAATACTTTGATGCACGCAATAGCTTTCGAGATCTACTGTTAACAAACACGTCCACATTGAAACTGAGAGGAAAAATAAATTTGTCACTTTAGTATTTAAACTTGATTTACTTTTATTTTCCGTATGAAACGTACACGTGCCGAACCGGCGCGAAGTGTCCGAGATCAAAGATTTAAAACCGCACTCGTGGAGGACCGTGAGATAGCAGAGGCGGACTCTAACTATCTAGTCAACCATTCAAGGGTGAAATTGAACTGTAACTGTACCTCACTGTGCCTGCAGACTCTTTCTATAGGGAGTAGCAGACCTTGACCACGCGCTGGCTGGAAAACGACGCAGGAAAGCTTGCCACCGAAAATTTTGGGGGAAAAGACAATAGCCGAAGATCCAATTGGCTGGAGCTGCTCTAGTTTAGCCACTTAAAATTGGCTCTTCCCACCTCTGGCTAGCTTTCCTACATGCGTCAAGAGAGGGGAAGGTGATTCACTCACTTGCACCCTTCCTTTCTCTTTAACATCAAGATTTTACAGATTTTCCATGTTATTTAATATTGACATTAGGATGACATATTGCTAAAATTTATTTAAACTAAGCATTGTTCATTTATTCAATCATATTTATTGCAACAAGAATGGTGAAAATCTCCAAATATTTCATGTAGGTGTTAACTGAAAAATCGTTCACTGCGTTGCTATATTAATAATAGGGTTAATAATAGTAATAGTAATTTTTACACATTAATAACTGTAATAGTTGCTAGAGTTGCGAGACATTAATCGAACAAGTTGATAGTCGGAAAGAGTAATTGTTGACGGCCGTCCAACCATTCATCTCTGAAGCAGCTGTAGTTGTGGTCCAAACACTTATCAGGTGTTTGTCACGACCCATTAATTGTTATCTTAACTAAGCTTGTCGGTTATTGTTAGCTACGGATGTATTTCAAAATGTTAGTAGCATGATCAATCCTCATTTTCCCTTTTGCTTACTCGTCGGAGAAGACATCGGCACGTGGTGCCCTGGGGATTTGAAAATTCCGTTACTTATATTGGATCGGTAGTACAAACTCTCTATCGACATATCTGAGTCAGAAAAAGGGGAAGGAGCTATTGTTTACTGTTGGCTAAACTTTCCCGCTTTCCCTTATATATTGAGAGGTAGCAACATTTGTCCGGATTACAAAAATTAGGTTTTTGCGAATGGTAAAAAAATTCTATGGTGTAAGAAGGTAGTTTGGCAACTCATGTATCAAAAACGAGCGAAAAACTAATAATGTCGCTTTGTTAGGTTAACAGTAGTTAACATTATTACTCATATTGTGGTTGCTTATCAACTATACATTAACTCTATCTTAGTCTGCTTGTCTTAGTTCTTATCTATCGGCTCAACTGTTCTTAGCTAACCTTTTGCATCTGTTAGTTCTTTAAAGTTATTTTATTATTTTATGCTTTGAGAAGTATTTCATTTGATTCCTTTTCCGGTCAGCATGGGCCAGCGTGCATGTATGTGAGTCATGCATGGTCGTAGTACCTTAGCTACAAGCAATCTTGTAGGTGATTCACCTCTTTTCAGATGCACATTGGCCCCTGCGTTTAGTGTTGTAAGATCGGCATGGAAAGTTTTGAGGAAAGGAGAAAAAAATTAATATGGATACACCGATGTTACAATACCTTTGAACATGCAAAAGTTACTGTCTGTTACGTTTTCATTATAACGTTGATGTTATGACAGTTAATCTCAATCCGTATTGCATATATCAAATCACGTAATTAGACCCCAGGTGGAAAGCAAGCGCTCTACCGTCTTAGCCACTGAGAACTTTCGACGCTGCGTGCTATCTACTGTAAAATTAGAACGTACTTGTAGACAACATCACATTAATGGCAACTCTGCTTTATTTTAAAAACGATCCTATACCAATTGTACACAGAAAAAATTTGGCTTGCAGCTAACTTAACGATAAGACCATTTTTCGAAGACTGAGCCTGAAAAAATCTTGTTTTGAGAATTCTGAGGTACACATGGTTTGTTTTCTATGCTGTAACAACTTTCTGACCATCTATTTTTAGTAAAGCTTTGAAGTAGAATTAAAAAGACTAAAGTAAACAAAAATGTAATAGGCATACCGACAAAAATACTTATTTTCGATATTTGAAAATTTGAGTATGCAAATCAGAAGTAAATAGTAGCGCAGTCACCAGGGCTTCGTCTGCTTTCTGAAACTTATCAAATGTATTTAGGAATTAATAGATGAAATTGCTTTGTTATTTAAGCAAGAAATCCCGCTCATAATTTTTTTCAACTAGAAAATTGTAAAAACTCGTAATTTTGTGACCTGTTTGTAATAAATATATATATATATAATAAA